CCAAGGAAGTAAAGGCATGGAAACCCACACAGTGCTGTGGAATTAAAGAAGGCGGCATGCTGTAAAGAGCCCCAGCTTTTCCCCTAGGCAACATCAGGGGCTCAGTTCCTTTCCCTCACTTTCTCTCTTCTTTAAGAATTTCTCTTAAATGGATGTGGTGGCATATGCCTGTGGTCCCAGCTACTCAGAATGCTGAGGCGGGAGGATCCCTTGAGTCCAGGAGGTCAAGGTTGCAGTGAGCCGTAATTGCACCACTGCACTCCAGCCTGGGCAACAGAGCAAGACCCTGTCTCAAAAAATTTAAAAATTAATTAATTAATTAACTTTTTCCTCCTAACTAACTCCACCTTATTGGCTTGAGGGTCAGTTTGAGGGGTCCAGACTTCCTTCTTCCTTTCTAGCCATAGCTCCCTGACACAGTATACCCAGAGATATATGTGTTTCTCCCCACCCTGGGCACAGTTTTTTTTTTTTCCTGAGACAGGGTCTCGTTCTGTCATCCAAGCTGGAGTGCAGTGGTACAATCATGGCTTACTCCAGCTTCGACCTCTCATGGTCAGGTGATCTTCCTGGCCAACATGGCGAAACCCTGTCTCTACTAAAAAAACTACAAAAATTAGCTGGGACTCCATGCATGCACTACCATGACCTGGCTAATTGTTAAACATTTCTTTTTGTAGAGGTGAAGTCACACTATGTTGCCCACACTGGTATCAAACTCCTGAGCTCAAGTGATCCCCCTGCCTTGGCCTCCCAAAATGCTAGGATTACAGGTGTGAGCCACTGTGCCTGGCCCTTTTTTAATTTTTATTTTTTTTTTAGAGATGGGGTCTTGCTGTGTTTCCCAGGCTGGTTTTGACCTCCTGAGCTCAAGCAATCTTCCACCTCAGCCTCTGGAATAGCTGGGATTACAGGTGCACCCTACCATGTTCAGCTAACTAATTTTGTTTGTTCAGAGACAGGATCTCACTATGTTGTCCGGGCCCAGGCACAGTTCTAATAGAGGAGAGAGACTTTCAGATATGAGCTCCCACACCTAGCACCGAGATCTTCCCTAATTTTCCCCCGACTTTTCTCTCCAACATGTCTCTCTCTTCTCCGGGTTACTTTACTCCAATCATTCTGATCTACTCTTTGTTAACTGGGCCCTTCATTAAATAATTTAGCCTTTCACAAAACACACATTAAGTGTGCATGACGGCCCAGGTACTGTATTCTGTGTCAGGGTTACACAGATTAATAAAGAGCTGGGATGGGCCGGGCGTGGTGGCTCACACCTGTAATCCCAGCACTTTGGGAGGCCAAAGCTGGTGGATCATGAGGTCAGGAGTTCAAGACCAGTCTGGCCAACATGGCGAAACCCTGTCTCTACTAAAAAACTACAAAAATTAGCCGGGCATCATGGTGGGCACCTGTAATCCCAGCCACTTGGGAGACTGAGGCAGGAGAATTGCTTGAACCCAGGAGATGGAGGTTGCAGTGAGCCAAGATGGTGCCATTACACTCCAGCCTGGGTGACAAGAGCAAGACTCCGTCTCAAAAAAAAAAAAAAAAAAGAGCTGGGATGATGTAGTGGTTAATATCAGTGTTGTTAGCATAGCACAGACCTGAATTCAAATCCTGATTCTGCCATTTGTCCCCTGTGTGACCTTGCATGGGTCACTGTACCTCTCTAGGCCTGTTTCTGTCTTCTGTGAAGTGACCAGCCTGGCCAACATGATGAAACCCTGTCTCTACTGAAAAAACAAAAATTAGCCAAGTGTAGTGGTACATGCTTATAATCCCAGCTACTCAGAAGGCTGAGGCAGGAGAATCGCTTGAACCCAGGAGGTGGAGATTGCAGTGAGCTGAGATCACACCACTGCATTCCAGTCTGGGCAACGAGAAGGAGACTCTGTCTCAAAAATTGAATAAATAAATAAATACATAAATAGAAGTAATGAGGGGACCGGGCATGATGGCTCACACCTGTAATCCCAGCGCTTTGGGAGGCCAAGGCAGGAGGATTGCTTGAGTGCAGGAGTTCCAGACCAGTCTGGGCAACATAGCAAGACATCATTTCTTTTTTTTTTTTTTTTTTTTTGAGACGGAGTCTCGCTCTGTGGCCCAGGCTGGAGTGCAGTGGCCCAATCTCAGCTCACTGCAAGCTCCGCCTCCCGGGTTTACGCCATTCACCTGCCTCAGTCTCCGGAGTAGCTAGGACTACAGGCGCCCGCCACCTCGTCCGGCTAGTTTTTTTTTGTATTTTTTGGTACAGACGGGGTTTCACTGTGTTAGCCAGGATGGTCTCGATCTCCTGACCTCATGATCCGCCCGTCTCGGCCTCCCAGAGTGCTGGGATTACAGGCTTGAGCCACCGCGCCTGGCCGCAAGACATCATTTCTACAAGAAATTTAAAAATTAGCCCAGTGAGTGGAGTGCCTCTGGAGTACCAGCTACTCAGAAGACTGAGAAGGCTGAGAAGGCTGAGGCAGGAGGACCACTTGAGCCCAGGAGGTCGACACTGCAATGTATTATGATCGTGCCACTGCACTTTAGCCTGCGTGACAGAGACCCTGTCCTAAAAAAAAAGTAATGAGGGTGGGGAGGAGTGGAAAGGGAGTGGGAAAGTGGACCCAAGCACATGAGTGGAACCAAGCTAAGACACATGGAGGGCTGGGGTATTGACACCTTCGTATTTGTGCACCATTGGTTAAGGCCTGGGAGTGGGCTGGGGGAGTGGGAGGGTGGTGGCATGTGAGGATGTGGGAGAGAAAAATTTCCAAGTGCTTCCAGCTCTCTGTCCCTGGAAAAGGTCCCAGCGGAGGCATAGGCCGGGCTGTTGTGGGTAATTTGGCTGTCGGGGGTGATTTAGCACTCTGGGAGTCCATAGGCACAAAAATGGTAAAGGGGTTCAAGAAGAAATGCATAGAACACAGTCCCTGCTCCACAAAGTTCATGACCTGGGAAGGGAAGACAGACATGAATAAATCATTGCCATAGTGTGACTGGGGTGAAGGGTGTCGGGGGTCGGGCGGGGTGCCGGAGGGAGTGGTGTAGGCAGAGGCGTTCCCGAGGAGAAATACAGCTGGTTTGGGAGAGGAAGGACCTTCCAGACATAGGGAACAGCACACAAGAAGGCTGATGCATATAGGCGCAAGGGCTGGTCCCCACAGCTGGTGGGTCTGGCCATGAGAGCACATCATCCAGGGGCATCTTCTGCACCTGCACCCTGTATGAGGCTCCAGGTCCACCCTTCCTGGACCATCCTCCAGACACACCGCCTGCTCTTCTCTCAGGTCCAGCTCCGGGTCCTCCTCCCGCCTCCCCTGACTAATCCAGCTCACTGTAACTCTTCTGAACTCACAGCGTTTACTGCCAAGGCTATTATATTGGCACTTACTCGTGTCATTATTAGGACATATGCATTTTTACTGTCTTTGATGTTATTTAAACTTAACTGTAAATCCTGCCTCTCTCAATTTTAAGTTTCCAAGTAGAAACTACATATTTTTACTCTTTATGTTCTTATATTCTCCCATGGCACCTGGCATTCGTGGACACACTAAGGAAGTAAGAGAATGAATGAATGAGGCAGGGCGCAGTGGTTCACGCCTGTAATCCCAGCACTTTGGGAGGCCGAGACGGGTGGATCATCTGAGGTCAGGAGTTCAAGACCAGCCTGACCAACATGGTGAAACCCTGTCTCTACTAAAAATAAAAAATAAAAAAATTAGCTGGACGTGGTGGCAGGCACCTGTAGTCCCAGCTACTCGGGAGGCTGAGACAGGAGAATTGCTTGAACCTAGGAGCCGGAGGTTGCAGTGAGTCAAGATCGGGCCACTGCACTCAAACCTGGGTGACAGTGAGAATACGTCTCAAAAAAAAAAAAAAAAAAAAAGAAAGAAAGAAAGAAAATGCATCCCTTAATGAGATGGGAAAGGGGGAAAGGGTTGATTTGTTTCCCACTGACTTTTGGCAGCTCTGGGAAGGGCACTCTGGTCAGGCCCGGGACAGGCAGGAGATTCTTTCTAGGGAGGGGCACATATTCATCTGGAAAATTATTCCCTTAAAGCTGGTCCTGCCGACACACCCCTGGGAAGGTTTGCATATGCCACGAGGGGTATCCAAGCCATAGGCCATTAAACAGAGATGAAACTTGCCTTCCCATTCTTCAATATAGTGTTCCCAGAAAGGGAAAAATGTGGGCCTGAATGTTACTGTGACTTGCATAGTGATATTTCCAACCCTCCTCCTGCTGAGCCCCATAGCCTTAGGTACTGGATATGGGCAGGATAGGAACTCAGATTACTTCCAGGTCTCTGTAAATTTAGGACTGTGAAGAGGGCATCCAAATAGTCAAAAACGTAAGTGTTGGCCGGGTGCGGTGGCTCATGCCTGCAATCCCAGCACTTTGGGAGGCCGAGGCCGGTGGATCATGATGTCAGGAGTTCGAGACCAGCCTGGCCAACATGGTGAAACCCCGTCTCTACTAAAATACAAAAATTAGCCAGGCATGGTGGTGCATACCTGTAATCCCAGCTACTCAGAAGGCTGAGGCAGGAGAATGGCTTGAACCTGGGAGGCGGAGGTTGCAGTGAGCCAAGGTCGCGCCATTGCACTCCAACCTGGGCAATAGAGTGAGACTCTGTCTAAAAAAAAAAAAAAAAAAGGCCAGGCACTGTGGCTCATGCCTGTAATCCCAGCACTTTGGAAGGCCGAGGCGGGCGGATCACAAGGTCAGGAGATCGAGATCATCCTGGCTAACACAGTGAAACCCCGCCTCTACTAAAAACACAAAAAATTAGCCGGGCTTGGTGGCGGGCGCCTGTAGTCCCAGCTACTCGGGAGGCTGAGGCAGGAGAATGGTGTGAACACGGGAGGCGGAGCTTGCAACTGAAATCGCGCCACTGTACTCCAGCCTGGGCGACAGATAGAGACTCCATCTCAAAAAACAAACAAACAAACAAACAAACAAAAAAACACTAAATGTTAGTTAAAGCAGCAGCCTAGATTCAGAATTAAGAAAACGTGATTTTTATTTTTCCGTTTCATGGAAGCAACAGCTGTCTACTGATAATTCCTGCCGCCGGCCACCAGGTGGCAGAAGGGAACACAGTACCGCAGCCCTGCCCCAGCGATCGCGCGGGCAGGAAGACGGGGAGGGAGGTAGGTGGGGCCGAGGCCCGGAGGTGAGGTATGAGAGTAGGCTTAGGCTGTCAGAGGAAAAAACGGGCAATGTGAGGGCTAAGTACGGATCTCAGGAGGGGACAGGAAATATTGAGAACACCACCTTCTGGGTTCAGAATAAAACCGAGGGAATGAGGAAGAGGTTTAAGGAGACGGGCTAAATTGGGAAGAGTTCACGGGGAATCAGAGTGGAGAGGGCGTGGGTGTCTGGAGATGCCTGGGAGCAGAATGGCTGGGGGAAGCCCATTATCTGTACTCTTCCCGGGGTGGGTCCAGGTCTGGCTCCTCCTGAGGTCGGTGGTCCACCTCAGGGGCAGGAGGCCAGGGGTATTCTGGGGGCTGGGGTCCTGCTGGCCAAGGGTCATCAGGCCGGGGAGATTGAGGAGGATCCGTTCTAGGCGGTTCAGGGGGCCAGACTCCAGTTTCAGGCAGGTCTCTCCAGGGACGACTGGGGCGGGGAGGCGGAGGGTCTTCAAAGAGAGGGGGTGCCCCTGGCCAAGGGTCACCGGGGACTGGGGGGCCCTGAGGCAATGTTGGGGAGCCTGCCTCCTCTCGGTCCTCTGCGGGTGGGTGAGAAGGGTGGTCCTCGCTGCCTGAGATGCCTGTAAATGAGGAAGGAGAAAGGTAAGAGGAGGTGAGGGCTTCTCTCTCCCACCCCAGCCCCAGCCCCAGGAGGAACAGCCTCTCTAGATGGACACAGCCTGAACCGACCCACAAACAGACCAAAAAAGTCCCTCTCAAAGAGCTGTCTGTACATTTGTAAATACTTAACTGATGATGAAATGTCATGAACCCTACCCCCGATGGATCTGAACCATTCACTTGTCCCACTTTAAACTGACCAGACTTCTCCAAATAAGCTCCATCCACCCTGGTTGGGGTACCCCACTGGCTTTGTCCTCAGGCTAATCTACAACCCAAAGTGGGCTACACCTTGGCCCCCGGACACACAGACCCCAGCTCCTTAACACAAATCATAGCTCTGAGGAAACTCGTCCCGCACGCATTAATCCTGACCGACTTTGCCACATGGAGCCAGCAAACCATTTCTGGTGAGAGCCAAACGCACCTTCTGCACCCCTGAACTCCTGTCCCCCACCCCTGTGTACAGAAAGCCGTTTCTGGTGAGCCAGACGCATCTTCTGCATCCCCTGAATTCCTGTCTGCAACCCCCTGCGTCCAGTTCACCTCCCCCATCCTGACCATCCCTCATCTGTCCCCAAACTGCACTCCCTGCCTCTGTTCCCACCTCACCTCTGGCGTGCAGGCAAAGGACCAGGATCCCAAGGAGCTTCCAGTTGAGCATCATGGCTGTGTACTGGCCCCCAAAGCTGGGGTGGGCTGAGTCTGGGTGCCTGGGAACCCCAAGAGGCTTTATAGGGGATGAGGGGAGGAGGGGCCAGCCCAGTGGCACAGGAATACCATCAGAACAGAACTGGTCAAACCCGTTGGGAAGGCCTGGGCTAATGTGTCACCTCTGAAGGTGGCGTCCCTTATTTTAGTACCCCTGTCCAGGACCCAGCTGCCGCTCTCCCTATCATGACCCTGACCCTGCGTCACCCCACCCTGGTTTTCACAACCCTCCATCCACACCCTGGAGCAGTCAATACTCACTTGGCATCTCCGTAATCACAGAGATGTCCACCTTCATCCCTTGCAACTATTGGAAGCCAAAGAATGGGAGCAAACCACGCGTTGGGAAGCGCCGTAATTACAGGGTTGGGAGGCAGGATGCCTGCGCTGGGGGAGGAGGTGCCTTTCAAACCTGGGATGCAGCTGGGACAGTGTCAGCTACTACCCCAGCCTCCCCACTCACCCACACACTAAAAGCTCCCCCTGGGACTTCGTTCTTTCCTGGGCACTTCCCTTCCCCCATGGGATCCAGGCATCCTGCTCTCCAGCATGTCCTTCTTCAGGCATGCAGGGGACCTCCAAGCAATGACATCCAAGAAATTCCATCTGGGAGTCATCCAGGATGACTGCAGAAGAGGAAAGACACAGGAGGATATCCTGGTTCCCTCTTCCCACCCAGAGCTGTTTGCATAAGTCCTGCCAATGGCTCCGGAAGAAGCTTCCAGGCTCTAGCAACCTCAGCCCCTTCCTCCTCCCTCAGGAATCCACCTATCCGCCTCTAAGGGCCTCGGCTCCACCTCTATTGTATCATCTCGTCCCTCCCATTCTCCTTTTGGTCTCAGCTCCTTGATCTAAGCCTCCCAGAGAGACCCCTAGAATGTTTCCTTCAAGGGCCTTTCTGCCTGGAAGTCTGTTAGCCCTTCAGAAGTAACGTGTCCAAAATAAAATTTGATTCCTCCCAGGTTGTTCCCTGCCTGGTTCGCTACCCCACAGTAAGGGATACCTTACTATGCAATGGTGTGATCTCGTCTGTTCCCTCCAGGGCTCATGAAGGACAGAAACCTTCGTTACTCTCCTCCACCATCCACAGCCCATCCACCTGCAAGCCCCTCCATGCCCTGTCCAAACCCAGCCCATCATCCTGAGCCACCATCTCCCCCAAGCCTCTCCAACACCATTCTCAGTGGCCCCCTTGCTCCCACTCTTTATTCCTCCCCTTCACACAAAATCTGTCCTCCACCAGCAAAGGAGGTCTTAAAATATACATCAGGTGGGCCTGGCATGGTGGCTCATGCCTGTAATTCCAGCACTTTGGGAGGCAGAGGCGGGTGGATCACCTGAGGTTGGGAGTTCAAGACCAGCCTGACCAACATGGAGAAACCCCGTCTCTACTAAAAATACAAAAATATTAGCCAGGCATGGTGGCAAATACCTGTAACCCAGCTACCCAAGAGGCTGAGGCAGGAGAATCAACTGAACCCAGGAGGCAGAGGTTGCGGTGAGCTGAGATCACGCCATTGCACTCTAGCCTGAGCAACAAAAGTGAAACTCCGTATCAAAAAAAAAAAAAAAAATGTATTATATCAGGCCAGGCGTGGTGGCTCATGCCAGCACTTTGGGAGGCTGACACAGAAGGACTACTTGAGCTCAGGAGTTGTGTGCGCTGCTTCACCTGCAGCAAGACTGTGGGCAACACGTGGGAGGCCTACCTGGGGCTGCTGCAGGCCAAGTACACTGATAGGGACGCCCTGTGCCTGAAGCACTACAGCCACTGCTGCATGCTGCTGGCCCACGTGGACCTGATCCAGAAGCTGCTCAATTATGCCCTCCTGGGGAAGTGACCTCGCTGGACCCACCCACCTGCCGTGCTGACCATGGGCAGTCGCTGTCTTGCCCTGAGTTCACTAAACTGAGATGTCGGGGTCCCGGGAGCAATTGCTGACCATAGTGCGTGGATGTGTGTACCTCACTCTGGAAGGGACCATCCAGTAAGTCTTTCAGGAAAAAAAATGTACACCAAATCATGTTGCATCTTCCCTTTGGGGAGTGAGGACAGGTTCTCGCTCTCAAGCTGGGGTGCAGTGGTGCGATCACAGCTCATTGCAGCCTTAACCTCTTGGGCTCAAACAATCCTCCCAACTCAGCCTCTGGAGTAACTAGGACCATGGGTACATGCCACTATGCCCTCCAATGTTTTTTTTTTTTTTTTTTCAGACAGAGTCTCCTCTGTCACCCAGGCTAGAGTGCAGTGGCGCAATCTCAGCTCACTGCAACTTCTGCCTCCCAGTTCAAGCAATTCTCCGCCTCAGCTTTCTGAGTAGCTGGGACTACAGGCGCCTGCCACCACACCTGGCTAATTTTTTGTATTTTTAGTGAAGGCTGGGTTTCACCGTGTTAGCCAGGATGGTCTCGATATCCTGACCTTGTGATCCTCCTGCCTCAGTCTCCCAAAGTGTTAGGATTACAGGCGTGAGCCACCACGCCTGGCCTTCTTCCCCATTTTTAAAGAAGTACTCCAATGGCTTTCTATTGACTTAAGAGTAAAATCCAAACTTGGCCACATCTTGGCCTCGAAGCAGCGTCCTTGACCATTCTCTACAGAGCCCTCCTGGCCTCCACAGGAGCCCACTTCAGGCAGGCCTCTCAGCACAAGGTCCCTTGCTCAGAGGCCTCTCCCCAGAGTCAGTTTCTATCACATAATTGTACTATACTTTCTCTTCAAGCACTTGTTTGAAATGATCTTGTTCATCTGTTTAGGTCGTCTGCCCTCTCTCTCCCACTAGGATGTAGGCTCTCAGGGCCCAGGTGGCCCCCAGGCTAATACAGTGCCTGGCTCTGACATTCTTGTTGAATGAGTGCATGTTTCGTCTTCCCTACTCCTAGCATTTATCATCTTCCAGAAGAAAAGAGTTTTAAAAGTTGAGAATAAAGAAAAGCAGAAGCTTCCCAAATATTTCCAAAGCTGCCTAGAAAAAGGATTTGAAAAGGTATCACCCAGAGAGAGCTATGGGTGGGACCACTTCTCACATCTCCGAGAGAGATGGCTGCAGGGAGAATTCCCAGATTCCCAGAGATTACATTTCCAAACAATGGCTCCTACTGTAGTCGTCTTTATTTAGAGCAGAATTTAGACTCAGCCGGTGTTCCCCAGGGTGACCCCGGGAGGGGGAAGGGCTTGTCTGTCCCCACCCACTTCTCCAGGATCCTCCCAGCCCCCAGGCTGGCTTTCCCTGGGCTCTCAGCTGCTTAGCTGCTCATCTGGGGATTGGAGCTGGAGCATCTGTCAAGGTTGTCTCCTTGACAAACAGCTTCCTCTTTGGAAATGGCTTCGCTCAAGCCCTGCAGGTCATCGAGCAGGACAGAGAGGGACCCTGGGAAGGAAGATAGCAGGAGATGAGCACCAGACAAGGGGAAGTGCTCGTGGTTACAGAGGAAACAGGGCTGCCACAGGAAATGAGGACTGGGAGAGAGGAGGCTCTTTGGTCCAAGCTGGGCATCGCTAAAAGAGGCTAAGGGCCTTGCAGGATCACAGAGAACACCACTCATCATGCAAGAGTCTGGAGGGGAGATTGCTGAAGTGCGCCCATTTGTCCCTTGTCCCTTTGTGCTTGGCCCAAGACCTTTTATGGATTCCCTGGTGGGTACTGCTGCTGTTACAGGTACGGATGCTGAACACTCTGGAGGCCTGGGGCTGGACACCACAGATTTCTTCTTATCCAGTAGGGAAGGAAGAACTGCCAACAGTCGCTGCTGCTTGTAACGGGAGAGGAGACCCTCCTGCTGCAAGGTGGCCTGGGAAGGAGAGGGTTAAACGCCACCTAGCCCGGGTAGAACCTCCCTCACCATCCTCTTTCCACACCTCTAGCCCAGGAACCAGCCCAGGATGGGCCCTAGTGTCTGCCTGTCTGCCGTCCCGTCTCCTACCAGCATGAGGTTCTTATCCCTCTCCAGCTCCTGCAAGCGCCGGGCCAGTCGCTGCCCCTCCTCCTTCCGGGCCTCCTCCTGCAGACGCCTGAGTTCCTGGCTCCGCTCCTTTTCCTGGGCGGCTCTGCGCTGAATCTGGCGCAAGGAGACCACTACAGAGCGGCCAAGGCACAGGGGAGGCAGGTGTGGGTCAGGCCAGAGGCAGCCAGGCACCATGAAGACAGGAACAAACGCCGGGTCACCAACCCTGTGGCTTGTGGGGGCTGTTCTGCTCTGTGGATCTGTCTCTTCTGTACAGTTGGGGGGGGGCGGGGGGGCTGACGCTCTAGGAGCCTGGGAATCTGAACCTAGTATCTTCCTCATCCCTGAACCATCCTGGAGTTCCGCAGGGGAAATCTCAATATGAACTGAGTGAGATTTTGTGCAATTAGTGTTCCTTGTCTTAAAGTGTGATGATTGCAGCTACATAGGAGAATTTACTGGCTTTGGGAGATGCAGCTGAACAACTTATGTTTGCAACTTACTTAAAACATTAAATGGTCGGGCGCGGTGGCTCACGCCTATAATCCCAGCACCTTGGGAGGCCGAGGCAGGTAGATCACAGGTCAAGAGATTGAGACCATCCTGGCCAACATGGTGAAACCCTGTCTCTACTAAAAATACAAAAATTAGCTGGGCATGGTGGTGGGCACCTGTAATCCCAGCTACTCAGGAGGCTGAGCCAGGAGAACGACTTGAACCCGGGAAGTGGAGGTTATAGTGAGCCAAGATCACGCCACTGCACTCCAGCCTGGTGACAGAGGGAGACTGTCTCAAAAAAAAAAAAAAAAAAAAAATTAAATGATTACAACTTAACGTGAATCAAAAGATGCACAAATATGCATGCATATAGATAAGAGACCAAATGTGGCAAACGTTAACTGCTATATTTAGAGAAGATATATTCATTACACAATTCTTTTTAGACACACGGTCTTTCTCTATTGCCCAGGCCGGAGTGCAGTGGCACAATCTCGGCTCACTGCAGCCTCCACCTCCCAGGTTCATGTGATCTTCCTACACCAGCCTCCCAAGTAAGCTCAGGCTACAGGTGCCCACCGCCATGCCTGGCTAATTTTTGTAATTTTTTTTTTTTTTAAAAGAGATGGGAGTCTGTGTTGCCCAGGCTGATCTTGAACTCCTGGGCTCCAGCAATCCTCCTGCCTTGGTCTCCCAAAGTGCTGGGATTACATGTGTGAGCCACCGCGCCGGCCACAATTCTTTTAACTTGTTTAGGTGTGTGAAATTTTTGCTAGGGGGTAATTGCTGGTGTTAGACATCTGGAAGGTGGTGGCCTCTGTGAAGGGGTATGACTGGAAGGGGTACAGGAGGGGTCCTGAGCTGGTCATATGCTCTTTATTTATTTATTTTTTGAGACTGAGTTTTGCTCTCCAGGCTGGAGTGCAATGGTGTGATCTCAGCTCACTGCAACCTCCGCCGCCCGAGTTCAAGCCATTTTCCTGCCTCAGTCTCCCAAGTAGCTGGGATTACAGGCACCCACTAACACACCCAGCTAATTTTTGTATTTTTAGTAGAGATGGGGTTTCACTATGTTGGCCAGGCTGGTCTCAAACTTCTGACCTCAAGTGATACACCTGCCTCGGCCTCTCAAAGTGCTGGGATTACAGGCGTGAGCCACCGCGCCCGGTCATATGCTGTTTCTTAATCTGGTGCTGGCTACATGGGTGTGTTCATGAAGTGAGAAATCTTCTGTGCTATTCATGGATACCTTCATTACTTCCTGTAATGAAGCTTTGAAAAAACTTGGAGGGGAAAATAATAACCTATGTCTTAACACTTCCTTCTTCCTGGAAGGCCCTATCCACCCTGGCAAGGCTCACCGGCCTTGGCATGCTCCCTCCGAGCCTCGTTCAGCCTCCTCTCTGTGTCTGACAGTTGCTCCCGCAGCCGAGTTTCCACTTCAGCCACCTTCTCTTGCAGGGCTGGGGTGAAAGTGCAGACGGGGCGTATCAGCAGGAGCTTTGATTTGCAATTCCCATGCCACCGTCCAAGGGAAGCACCCCTTTCCCTCTCGACACCTTGCCTGTAGAGGTCCTGCTGCTGGGTCAGCTCCTGCCGCAGACTGGCAGCCTCCTCTGTGCTCTCCTGCTGGCCCTGGCGTGCCACCTCCAGCTGCAGCCCCAAGCTAGCCAGGGACTCCTGGGTCTGCTGCAGCTCCTGCTCCAGCTGCTGGGCCACCTTGCTCAGCTGCTGCCGCTCTGCCTCCCCTAAAAGGAGGGGGTGCTGGGTCAGGCCTCTCCTAGCACCCTAGACACCGGGTCTTTCCTCATCCTTGCCACCCCCTGGCAACCAGGTGTACCTTGTTCCCGAGCCCGGCCCACCTCCTGCTGAATGAGGCGGGCACTCAGCTGCAGTTCTGCATCCAGGCGGTTCCGTTCTTCCCGCAGCTGCTGCAACTCAAGGCTTACGTCTGTGACTGGTGGTGGTAGGGGACAGCTGGAACAGGGAAGAGAGAGTCAGGAGAAATCACCCAGCCGCCTGACCCCAAAGCACCCATCCTGCCTCAGTTCTCATGGTTTTGGGGGTCCCAGTAGCCAATGCTCTAAAGCCCCATCCACCTCAAAGTGCCCAAACTTCACCTCTCCTGGCGCAGCTGAGCAAGGGCAAGCTTTCGAGCAGTCAGGCCTGGCAGGGAAAAGGCAGGGAGAAAAAGAGATGAAGTTTGCATGGGAGAAAGTGGGGGACAGGGAGTAAGGGAAAAAGAGATGCGAGGGCTGGTGAAAGGAGGAAGGTGAATGGATGTGGGATCACAGAGCTGGGTCAGGAAGAAGAAAGTCCGAGCTGGTGGGGCGGGGGCGGGACATGGCTCCCAGTTGCCCTACGCACCCCGAATGGTGTGGACCTTGCGGACAGCATAGCTGAGTCGGTTGTTGAGGCTGGGAAGCCGGGCGGCAGCCTCTTCCACCTTAGCCATGGTGCTCTCGAGCCAGATCTGAGAGCTGGAGAGGGCACAGGTCATTGACCCTCCATGCCTCCCCTCATTCCCAAAGGACTTGCTGTGCCTAGTAGAGACAACTCCCTCAATCCTGTCCTGTTATACAAGTGAAGAACGCACAGCTTCCATCAATTATCTAAAGGGACCTTGCCCCAAGAATGCATTAAATGACTATCTTTTAAAGCAACCTGTTAAGCTTATTTCTCACAACCTGTGTTTCGCTCACTATTGTGCATCAAAGAGTAAAGTTATCCTCTCTGGCCAGAGGCTTCTGCCTGTAATCCCAGCACTTTGGGAGGCCGAGGCGGGTGGATCACCTGAAGTCAGGAATTGGAGACTAGCCTGGCCAACATGGTGAAACTCTGTCTCCACTAAAAACATAAAAATGAGCTGGGCATGGTGGCTTATGCCTGTAATCCCAGCTACTCCGGAGGCTGAGGTATGAGAATCACTTGAACCTAGGAGGTGAAGGTTGCAGTGAGCCAAGATTGCGCCCCTGCCCTCAAGCCTGGGCAACAAAGTGAGACTCCATCTCAAAAAACCAAACCAAAACAAAGTCATCCTCTCCAAGCCCAGGAGTGTTGATTTAGCACCAATGACGGGCAGACCCACATGCTTTACCAGCTGGCTGTGCCAAAAGTAGGACCGACCTGGCTCATGAAAACTGAGCAGCTTAAACAGGCCCCTGGAGGAGGCCAAGGAGTGTCTAGGGCCCGCGTGGGGTTTCCTCAGGAGAGTCCGGGTCTGCACCCACAGAAAAACACAGGATGATGAAGGCTTGCAGCTGCATCCCCAGCAGCACGGCAAAGTTCACTTTCATCTGGAAACTGTTCAAGTAGATGCTTCCAACACCTACCGCAGCTCGTAGTAAAGTCTCCAAGTACCTACAGACAATCTAATAAACCCAGCAACAATCCGAGTTCAGACTGCTTTAAGCCTGGAGGACTTTTGGCAATGCATCATTACACAGACCATTTCTGTGATTGCCTGGTACCAAAGTCAAACCCTGTCCGCAGCACATCTTTCTGTTCTCCTGGAGGTAGGGGGCACACGCAATGGATTGAACCTGGGTGGTAGGTCATCATAACTAGTTTAATTCCATGCAAGTGTGAAATGTTTCATAATTTTTTAAGCTGAATTAGTCCCCAAGGTACAAATCCAAGAGAAGGAAGTGGTGGGCAAGGACTCATCCTGCATCTTAATTTCGCTAAACCAAAAATTATCTTTATCTAAATTAACCCATCAAGAAGAGCCTCATGATAACGATAAACATTTACAAGCCAGACACTGTGCTAAGAACTACCTGCCTTGGGTATCTCAATGTCCAAGGCTGAGGGGAAGTCATCACCAGCACAAAGAAGCTTTGCTGTTTCCTTAGAAGTTTTTCTGAAGGTCGTAGAACAATTGTTGGTAATGAAACAACTAGGAAGTTGGTATGAGACACAAAGGCTGGCAACTGATTTAGAAGGAAACTAACTGGCTTACATTTTAGATGGAATAGTAAGCAAGTAAGTATATAGCTTTAAATAAATAGACTAGGCCGGGCGCGGTGGCTCACACCCGTAATTCCAGCACTTTGGGAGGGTGAGGTGGGTGGCTCACCTGAGGTCAGGAGTTCAAGACTAGCCTGGCCAACATGGTGAAATCCTGTCTCTACTAAAAATACAAAAACTAGCTGGGCGTGGTGGTGGATGCCTGTAATCCCAGCTACTCAGGAGGCTGAGGCAGGAGAATCACTTGAACCAGGGAAGTGAGGTTGCAGTGAGCCAAGACTGCACCACTGCACTCCAGCCTGGGTGACACAGACTCTGTCTCAAAATAAATAAATAAATAAAAAGACTAAATTTTTCTCCAGTGAAACAGAGAATGCCTGTAAAATTTTAGACAAGGAAAGGACGATGAAGTGTCTACACTCTCCATCCTTGAACAATGCTGCAAGTGAAGATCCTCCCCGGTGCTCTATTTAGCTCAAGCCATTACTAGACTGAACTGCAGGAGGAAGCAAGGCCTCACCTCCAGCCCAACATGCAGTGGGGAGTTCATGACAAGCAATCAGGTGTGAATGCAGAGGAGGCTGCCCCAGAAGAGAAATGAACACAGGAACATTGATAGGGCTAAATTTGCCCAGCCCTGTAGCCTCCAGTGGCCAGCTTTCCAGCCCCTCTTGCCCGAGGCTCCTCAGCAACAAGGTGCCCAGGAAGCTAAGGTGGCAGAAACACTACTCCACCAGCCCCTCCATCCCTGATACCTGCTGACGGCATTGACCACAAGCCTCAACTGCTCCTCGGCTGAGGTTGTCTGCTGCTGCCACCGGCGCCTGGCCTCCTGAGCACGGCTCAGCTCCAACTGCAGGCCCTGGGGAGGATGCAGCAAAGGACAGGGTCCCTCCCTAAGTCCTGGCTGCAGCCCTGGACCAGGGCTCCCTTGCCCTCCCCGAGTCTCTACTAGGCTGACACCAACCCTGGAACCCATCCGCTCCACCTCCACCTCTGCGGCTTTGTCCTGCAGGGATCGATGCAGAATGGCCTGCTCCTGGCTCTGGGCTGTTACTTGTTCCTGGAGTGAGGTCACCTGGGGGAGGAGATGAAGCTGGGCAGGGGCCTCTAGAGCTAAAAGCTGAGGGAGGCATTAGAAGCAAAGTGGCAGGTGCAGAGAATGTCATGCAGGGGCCAGGCGTGGTGGCTCACACCTGGAATCCCAACACTTTGGGAGGCCGAGGCAGATCGCTTGAAGTCAGGAGCTCAAGACCAGCCTGGCCAACATGGTGAAACCCTGTCTGTACTAAAAATACAAAAATCAGCTAAGCATGGTGGCATGTGCCTGTAATCCCAGTTACTTGGGAGGCTGAGGCAGAAGAATCACTTGAACCCGGGAGACAGAGGTTGCAGTGAGCCGAGATCACGCCACTGCACTCCAGCCTGGGTGACAGAGCAAGACTCCTTCTCAAAAAGAGAAAGAAAAAGAACCAATGCCATGCAGGGTGACAGAAGCTTAGGTTCCTGAGAATAGAATCTGAGTTCAGTGTTCCTTCCATGTTCCACGTTCCATGTGCCCACTTGAACATGGGAATAGCCCTTGACCCACCCCACAGGACCCACCAAATGACCATGCCACCCTCCTCAGATGCTGTCACCTCCTCAGAGAGGCTGTTCCTGACCATCCTACCTGAGGCTGACCCACCCCCCAGTCTCTCTGTCACATTATCTTTTCAATCTTTCTTGCTACTTTCTTTTTTTTTTGAGACAGGATATCGCTTTCTCACCCAGGCTAGAGTGCAGTGGTGGGATCACAGCTCACTGGGGCCTCGACCTCCCAGGCTCAGGTGATCCTCCCACCTCAGCTTCCACAGTAGCTGGACTACAGGAATGAGCCACCATGCCTGGCTAATTTTTTGTATTTTTAGTAGAGAAGGGATTGCGCATGTTGCCCAGGCTGGTATCAAACTCCTGACCTCAAGTGATCCACTTGCATCAGTCTCCTAGACTGCTGGCATTTTACTTGGCTGGGCACGGTGGCTCATACCAGTAATCTCATCACTTTGGGAGGCTGAGGCAGGCGAATCATCTGAGGTCAGGAGTTTGAGACCAGTGTTGGCACTATAGGCGTGAGCCACTGCACCCAGCTTGAATCTTTCTATACAGCACAAATAATTACTGAACATTATCTGTTTACGTGCGTGTTCTGTGTCTCTGCTCTAGAATGCAAGCTCCACATTTCGGTTTTGTTCAGGGCTGTGTGCCCAGCATGTGGCAACCACTCAATAAACTCTGGTTGAATGGATGCCACTCTTATGGAAGGAGCAAGGTGCTGGGAGGGAATACCGGGAGAAAAGAGAGCGCAGTGACCTGTCCCTTCAGCTGCTTAACAGAGTCGCTGTGTTCCAGCTCCTGGGCCTTTAGCTGCACCATGAGGGCAAACACCTTCTCCCGCCAGCGGTTCAGCAGGGACTGGCACTTCCTGGTAAACTCAGGCTCCAGTGAATCTGAAGGTTGAACCTGAGGGAGAAGGAGCGGGAGGAAAGCGTGGGCTCCTGCGGGAGGAGAGGAAGGAGGTGGCATCTTTGTTTCTCCTCTGTCCTGCCCGGGCAACATGAGCTACAGCAAGAGGAGTTCACAGGAAGAAAGAGATCCAAGCAGGTTCTGGGGCACATCGAACCCTCCCGCCCACAGGGAGGAGGGTGGGGGACAGTAGGTATAGGATGCGGCCGAGGGTGAGGGATCTGGGGGTCGGACCATACCTTCCTGGTCAGCTCCTCCTCCTGCAGGGCGAGGATGTGCGTGAGGCTCTGCACCCGCACCTGCAGCAGCTCCACAGTGGCGTGCAGGCCATCCCGGTCCTCCTGCAAGTGCTGCGGGTGGAGAGAAGCAGCCCCTCTGTAGGGCCTCCATGCCGCCTCGGGTACCACCTTCTCTCCTGAGGGCTGTGCTCTACACGCTCCTCCAAGGGCCACACTTGCCCCCCAACCTGATCCCCAAGTCCCCACACAGATGCACTCCTGCACACTCACCTGCATGTTTTCCAGAAACTTCTGTCGCTCCAGTTCCCATGTCTGGCTGTGGACCTCAGGAGGGACTTGTTCCCCAACATATTTTCTTAGATTCTCAACCAGGGTCACCTGAGCCTCCAAGTCTTCCTGGGTCTTGCTAGGGTTGGGGTGGGAATGGGACAGCCATCAGTGGGGCACCCTGCAGACCCACCACATCACCAACTGCTGGGCCCCCATCGGCATCCACCCACCTACCTCAGCTGCTTCCGAAGCAGCTCGGCCTCCCTCTGAGCCTCGGCCAGCTCCTTGGCTTCCCCTGCTCTCCTGGTTTCCAGACTACTCAAAGACTGCTCCAAGCCCTCGGCCTTGCTGGTCAAACTGGAAAGAGCCTCCTGGTGAGCCTGTGTCAAAGAGGACAGCTGCGGAAAGAAGAGGGGGCTCAGCAGGGGCTCGACCCCACATGGAGGCCTTCCTTGTTCCCTTCACTCCCACTTTCTGTGACCTTAGACAATGACCAAACCAATCACCCAACTGCGCATAGCAAATGGAGAGCTGGTAACTCATTCTCTGCAGTTGCCCCACAACCCATCGGGAGTTCTTGTTCAATCTCCCCCGAAACATTATCTTCACCTCTCTCCGTCTCCGTCTCCACTGCCACCAACCCAAGGTAAGCTACCCTCATCTCTTGCCTGGGCAACAGTGACCATCTCCTAACTAGTCTTTACAAACCCTCGGTGGCTTCTCACAGCATTCACAGCAAAACCCAGGCATCTCTCCACACCTGCAGGCCGGGGGACCCAGCCTCTGCCTGCCTCCTGAGTTCACCCTAGAGGCTCTCCTAATGCTCCCCGCTCCAGCCACAGGGAGTCCGCTGAGAACCAGACAGTGGCCCCTCCTTGCTCCACAGACCCCAGGTGATAGCCCCTCCTCAGGGTGGCTTCGCTGGGCCCTCTAATAACCCTCACCACCCTCCTGTGCCCCATCAACTGCTCACGTCCTCCCGAGCACTTAGCACTGACCATATCTTGCTTATGTGTATGTGTTACTATCTGTCAGACCACATTGGAAGGAAAGCTCCAGGAAAGGAGGAATTTTATGTCTTTTGCTCATGGCACCTCAAAGGGTTGCAGGGGTGTCAGAGCCACCAACAGTCATGGGATGGACTGGGAAGGAGGGCAAAGTGGCCACCCTGCTTCCTCGTCTGCCTCCTCTAGCCCCGTCTCCATACAACAATAAAGTTAATTTGGGGGATATAAATGACAAAACTTTTTAGACATAAAATACAAATCTAATCATGTCATTTCCCTGCCTAAAACCTTTCAACAGCTGCTTATCACTTAAAAAAACAATTTTGTTTTCTTTTTGTTATTTTGGAGATGGAGTTTCACTTTGTTGCTCAGACTAAGTGCAATGGCACAATCTCAGCTCACTGCAAACGCTGCCTCCCAGGTTCAAGCGATTCTCCTGCCTCACCCTCCCAAGTAGCTGAGATTACAGGCATGAGCCACCACGCCCAGCTAATTTTTGTACTTTTAGTAGAGATGAGGTTTCACCATGTTGGCAGGGCTGGTCTCGAACTCCTGACCTCAAGTGATCCACCCACCTCAGCTTCCCAAAGTGCTGGGATTACACATGTGAGCAACTATGCCCAGCCCTAGTTTATTTAATAAAATAGAGATGGGGGCTCACGTTGTTGCCCAGGCTGGTCTCAAACTCCTGGGCTCAAGTGATCCTTCTGCCTTAGCCTCCCAAAGTGCTAGGATTACAAGTATGAGCCACCGTGCCCAGCCTGCTCATTGCTCTTAAGGGAAAGTAGCAAGTTCTGAAGTGGCTAAGGCCTTGTGCCCTGGGTCCCATGCTCTGCAGCACACTCAGCGCCCCTGATCTCTATGCTCCAGCCTTCTGGCCTCCGCCTGTCCCCGCCTCCACCGGTTGTCCTGCCGAGTGTCCTCCAGCGACCATTGGACCTCACACGCCTATTCACTGGCCAACTCCTATTCAGCACAAATGGTAGCTTGCTGGTTTTTTTTAGTCTCGCTCTGCTGCCCAGGCTGGAGTGTGGTGATCTCAGCTCACTGTAACCTCTGTCTCTCAGGTTCAAGCAATTCTCCTGCCTCAGCCTCCCAAGAAGCTGGGGCATTACAGGCGCCCACCGCCATACCCGGCTAATTTCTGTATTTTTTGTAGAGACTGGGTTTCTTCATGTTGGCCAGACTGGTCTTGAACTCCTGGCCTCAAGTAATCCTGCCCACCTCAGCCTCCCAAAGTGCTGGGATTACAGGTGTGAGCCACTGTGCCCGGCCTAGCTTCTTGTTTCTAAGTTTCTTTCATGAATCTCCTTTGTCCACTTTCTGACTGGATTGCTGGTCTTTCCCTTACCAATTTCTAGGCACACATTTTATATGAGGGATATTACCCTTTTCTTGTGATCTGAGCTATAAATAGAGCTTTTTTTTTTTTTTTTTTTTTTTTTTTTTCCCTGCCATTCCTAATGTTCATGTTATAAAGTCAATGGATCAATCTTTTCCTTTACGGCTTCTAGATTTTGGATTTTGACTCACAGGTAGAAAGGCCTTGCCCACTACAAGGTTACAAAGAATTTCTCCCTTGTTTTCTCCCAGTTCCTTTTTTATTTTATTTTTTGCGACAGAGTCTTGCTCTGTTGCCCAGGCTGGAGTGCAATGGCATAATTTCGGCTCACTGCAACCTCCACCTCCCAGGCTCAAGTGATTCTCCTGCCTCGGCCTCCTGAGTAGCTGGGATTACAGGTGTGCATCACCATGTCTGGTGAATTTTTGTATTTTTAGTAGAGACGGGGTTTCACCATGTTGGCCAGGCTGGTCTTGAACTCCTGACCTTGTGATCCACCTGCTTCGGCCTCCCAAAATGCTGGGATTACAGGCGTGAGCCACTGCACCCGGCCTTATGGTTTCTTTCCTTGACATGTCCAATTGGTTACAGTGGCCTTCCCTGAACCCCAGACTAAGTTAGTGCTCTCTAGTCCTTCGCCTTCAAGGCACTCCTCCTGATTGCAATTAATTATGATTAAATTAAAAGTGGATGTGTGTATCCCCCATGAGGCTGTCAGTTCCATCCATGAAGGCAGGATTCAGGCTAATTTGGTCACTGAGTCTGAGATGGCAAAGAGTAAGCACTGAGTTTGCAGACTGAATAATCTTTCTCTCCCAGTCCACCATAGCCCCTTTATATCCACCTTCCTCACTGCCCTCCACAATACCCCCGATGAATTGGTACCCAGAGTAAAGCAGGGAGGCAAACTACTTCCTACTAGAAAAGGAAGCAGGGCTTCAAGTCGTGGGAGGCCACCTGAGTCTTGGGGAAAAAGTGCAACCTGAATTAAGATCAAAATAACCAAATTCTCCATCTTTCTAGGCCATGTGTGTTTCTTTTCACCAAAGGTCTCATCACTCCACTACTCACTACTCATGGAGAGTCTCTTCTGCAATACCTGTTCTTTGCTTGGAAGCTACTGCCCAGCTCTCCGTTATGAATTTAAATCCTTCCCACCCCTGCATTCACCTGCTCTTGGTGCAGCCTCTGAACCTCTTCCAGCTCGCGCTGGCTCCCCTCTTCCAAGTTCTTCCGGACGACCTCAGCCCCAGCCAAAGCAGCACGCAGGCCCTCAGCCTCAGCTCGGCCGGCCTTCTCTGCCTGTGCCAGGGCCTCCAGCTCCATGGCCTGGGCCTCTAGCCTCATCTTCTGCTGCAGTGAGGTCTCCCGCAGGAGCCGGACCTCCTCCTCCAGCCGCCGCAGTTCTTGCAACTGCCGAGCGATCACCTCAGCCTGCTGGCTCAGGGCCTGTGACCCCTCCAGCTCCCAGGACCTTCAAAGACAGGTTAGTGCAGGTGAGACTTGTCTCCAGTGCTGGAAGGATAGTTGAGGGTGTAAACATAGCCAGAAGGAAAAGAGGACCTCTCTGCCCCCGTGTGAGGAGGTGAAGGGGGTGCTGAAGCTGGGGTATGGGGATGTCTGCATTGACATCATCATCATCATTCATCAAAGCCCTATTGAGCATGTTAAGTCCAGTGCCTGGACTCACAGGACCTAAAGTCTGGCTGAGATGATGGAACATGATCTCCCTAGAGAGAGCTACATACAGACAGATCCAACATCAAATGTGTATATCATTAGGCCACACATTCTTTTTGTTTTTTGGTGTTTTTTTGTCTTATTTATTTTTTATTTTTAGGCCACACATTTTAAGTGGAAAGGTTAGAAGAACAGAGACTTCTCAATTCTGATTTAAGGGCAAGAAGTTTGAGGGAGGAATGGGCATAGAGAGAGCTGAGCTTCCAGTATCAATATGGTGAGGCCAGGTGCTAGTTAAAATGCATTTATTGAGTGTTAGGTATACTTTATGAGGAGTCTGAGAGAACAGTACATAAATAACATAGTGCCAGCCTTTGGAGACATTGTCTACCAATATCACGTGAAGTTTAATCCAGCTTGGAACGTGGCTCCTGAGGCAGCTGTCTCTCTGACACCCAGGACCACAGGAGACTGTTGTTGTTGTTTTTAGAGACAGGGTATCACTGTGTCACCCAGGCCTCAAGGCAGTGGCTGGATCATAGGTCACTGCAGCCTTCAACTCCTGAGCTCAAGTGATCCTACCACCTTAGCCTCCCGAGTAGCTGGGACTACAAATGCATGTCACCACAGCCAGCTAATTATTTTCTGTGGAGACAAAGTCTCGCTTTGTTGCCCAGGCTTGTCTTGAACTCCTGGGCTCAAGTGATCCTCCTGCCTCAGCTCCCAAAGTGCTAGGAGTATAGGTGTGAGCCACCATACCTGGCCTTTTCTTTATTTTCTTTCTTTATTTAAGTATCAGGGATCTGTAGGCTAGGGAAATTGACTTGCCAAATGTCCTCTAGCTGGTAGCCAAACTAGAAATAGAGTCTCTGTCTCCTGACACCCAGTCTAGTGCTCCTTCTTCTTCATTGTGCTGCTGCTTCTAATGTAATCCCACTCTGGAGCAAAATGGCAGAATGATATCCCAGTACATCTGGGAAGACACATGAAACAACAAGAATAAGAATGTTTACAGACAATACGACAGCATGGCCAGCTCCCATAGCATGTCCTCTGTAAAGGCTTTCTTCCATCAGAATGAACCCACACTGCCACAGTCCTGGGTCTCTACTTCTAGTTTGCACTTCTTCATCTTGCCTCATACTATGCTTTACCATCAGTTGATGGTCAATCTATCTCCCCTCTTAAGATTTTAGATTCCTTATTAATTACAAATTTAAGTCAGGATTTGTCTTATTCATTATTGTTATCCTCATCCCTAGCACCTAGCACACTGCTTTATTATCTAAGCACTGTAGGAACTAATAATTGCTTGCATAAAAATGAGTAGGTTCTGGAAACTAGGGCCAAAATAGGGTAAGGAGTTTATTCCAGTGAAGAAGGGTCACTAGCAAGCCAGCCTGAGAAAACAGCGAGGATGGATCCCTACCTGCCTCTCCGCCCTGGCTCCTGCCTGTCACTGGAAACATCCTGTTTCCACATGGTCACTTGAGGTCTCTGGGTGTCTAGTCGCCTCTCTGAGACATCTTGATGGCCTGGGGGTTGGACCAGGGGAATGTCTGAGAGCCAGGTGGGAGCCATTCTCGGCAGAGTTGAAAGGGGCCGAGCTTGAAAATGGGAGGGAGGAATCAGCCCAGTGGAACCTGAAGAATTACAAAATCAAAGATGGTCAGTTTCCCAGGCAGAGACAACCACCACTCCCCTTGTCTGGTCCCACTGACCTGAAGGTGGAAACATCTCCACATTATTTGAAGGCTCTAGATTCTGTCTCCAGCCATCTATGTTCCCCTGGACAATAGGAGAAACAAAGACACTCCAATTCAATTTTCAGGCCACCTTCCAAAGAGAAAGCCCCTACAATAACCAAGTCATAATCCTTGAATTACAGCCAGGTCCACCCGATGCTCAGCTCTTTTCCTACTTCCCCAAAGAAGTAGGAGATACCCCAAATTCACTTGCTTGTCTCAACCTGGTTCCTCAGGGAACCCAGGCAACTAACTATCAAGTGGAGAGAATTTACTGAAAAAGACAGACCGAGAGGGGCTCTGAGGCTTTACTCATACTTTCAGGATTCTGGGCAGTGCCTTTACCCTCCTCCTTAAGTTTCTATGGTCCCTGCTGCCCCTGGCCAGAGGTGAGAAAGGAGGTACACAGTGCAGGGGTCTTGAGCGCCATCTCCAGAGTTCTCTCCATGGCTCAGCAAGGCCTGGGGGAATCCCATCCAGACACCACCAGGCCATGACTCTTGGGTCCTTCCCTATTAAAGTGCTGGCCCAAGGCCTGGCCCCAGCTGAATGTGGCCACATGCAGGGCTAGACCCTTCCCAAGACCTTGGGAATCCAAGCAGCCTAGATCCCCAGGCAGAAAAGCCAGCGTCCTGACATCTCATCCAAATCTTTCCTGCGGCTGTCCTCTCAGCTTCTCTCTACTATCCCCTCAGCTTCCATGCCTGCCGCCCGCCTCCTCTTTCTCGAGTCCTAACACATAGTGGGCACTTTAAGACCTTCCCCCCACCCTCCCACCCTCATTAATCTATTTTTTACCCGAATCTGGGATCCCTACTCCGGTCCCTTTTTACATCCTAATCTACTTTTTTCTGAAGGAATTGTTCTGGTCCTCACCCTCACCCCCATCTCTCAATAGTCTGCTCTCGCCCCCTGTACGCTAGCCGGCTCTGCTCTCCCCCCACTGCTCCCCTAGATACCCAAGGCTGTTCACCCAGTTGGCCCCTGAGCTCTTAGGCTGTTCTGATCTCCTCATCTACCCCTTCACCTGGCCCCTGTTCCCCCTTCCCCTTTGGACCCCTTGAACCCTCCCAGCACCCCCGCTCAACCCCTTCCCGCCCACAACCGACTCTTCCCGAACGTCCCTTACCCACCGCGAGAACCCCTACTGCGCCTTGACCACACCCCCTACGCCTCGCTCCGGGCCCCGCCTCTGCCTCGGCCTCTGACCGCGCCTGCGCAAGGCGGGGGCCCTAAGGTCCTATCTCCCTGTAGGGAGGAGGAAAGGTGTACGCAGGCGCAGTGGCGTCTAAATCTGGGCCCACAGAATGTGTCGACGCCTGTCCGCGCCCAGGCGGCTCCTCCCCACTGCGGGAACCCGGGAAAACTTGTGAACTAATCAGAAAAAGCGGAAGGCGGGAGATCTTAGGGAGCCGTCCAATGGCGCGGAAGAGAGCAAATGAGCTGGCCAATCAGAAACGGCACGGGGGCGGGCTCGCTCGGCGCGAAGTTCGGGCCCGGGAATTCCGAAGGAGGGGTAGGCGCTGCCCGCGCGCCGAGGCCGCGCCCCTCCTGGCCCCGGCTTCCTGGCTGTCAAACAGCTGCAGCAGTATCGGCTACAGCAGAGGAGCCCAGGGGGTCCCGGAACCCGCGGCACAGGCTGGCACTGCTTGAAGAGGAGGCTACTCGGAGACTGCACCGCGCTGGTAGATCCGAAACGGGGCTGGGGCCGAGAGGGAAAAGGCCGGGTATGCCTTGCATGATCGCGGGGAGCCCCTTCCTGTTTTTATCCCACCTAGAGAAGCCGGGAAGTAGGGGTTTAGGTCCAATTTGTTGGAGAACTTAAGAACTCGTTTGCACTTCCTTTTGGGGGATGACAGTAGATTCATTGCCCTCGGAGGTTCAAACTAGTTATGAGTGAGGGATTGGCCAGAAGATCGGGGCGCAGGCAAGCGGGAGTGCTCTATTAGGATAAGCAGGTTTGACAGGAAGAAGCTGCTCTTCTCCGAATTACACAGAGGTGATGTGTTCGTACTGCACGTAGACGTGTGTATAACAGGACCTCCCCCCCGCGCCCCGCCACACCGACACACACAGGAGCTGCCTAAAGTATCCTTGCCTTGCAGATTGGAGGCTCCCCAGATATTTTGCGACCTGAGGATCCAGCTCAAGTGAGGTGCCATAGGACGTGGTCCTGAGTTTGCATTGCACGGAGACCTTCCTGGAATTTTTCATTTGCAAGTCGGCTTAACAACCGATTTTGCATTGAGTCCTAGGCTGCTTGCACTCTGAATTTGGACTATTCAGGTAGTGTGCTCAAAGTTGAAACTGCACACAGCACAACTCAAGTTTGCATCAGACTGGGAAGCGAACTTAAGCCAGCGGTGCGTGGCCCAGGAGTGGGAAAGGAAATGGATCCCTAAAGTGGAAGAGGTGGTGCAAAGGGGGCACCGCCCATGCTGCCCTGCTTCCAACTGCTGCGCATCGGGGGCGGCAGGGGCGGTGATCTCTACACCTTCCACCCCCCCGCCGGGGCTGGCTGCACCTATCGCTTGGGCCACAGGGCCGACCTGTGTGATGTGGCTCTGCGGCCCCAGCAGGAGCCTGGCCTCATCTCTGGGATCCACGCCGAACTGCACGCCGAGCCCCGGGGTGATGATTGGAGGGTCAGCCTGGAAGACCACAGCCTCCAAGGTGAGCAGTAAGCAGGGCAGCTTTGCCCCTGGGTGGTTGAAGTTCCAGGCTGGAATGAGTAAGGTCTCCACAAGACCCTGCTGCCTGCCTCCCATACTCCCATCAGATTGGATGGATGGTAATTGTCCAGACCTTCATCTTCCCACCAGAAGTATGCACAGTCAGAAGCTCTCTGCCAGACCGACCCTTGTTGGTCCCGTTTAGCTCATACAGGACCTGGGGTATCATCAGAAAGATGTCACAGAGGGGATGTTTAGAGGCCAAGTTTAGACTTGATTCAGTTTCCAGCTTTGCTGAGGCACTCTGTTCCTGGGTTAGGGCAGTTCTATGTTGAATAATGTTTTTAGTAATCTGGGTATATGTCTTTCTCCCTGACTTGAGGGAGTTAGCCTCAGAAAGCCTAGATTCACATTTGAGTTCTGCCACTGGCCCCTGGCAAAACCTCTTCCTCTTGGTAAAGTCAGTTGTGGGAGTGTTGTGGTTATTAGACTATGGTAGCCAACATTCATCTAGTGCTTCCCGTTATGAACCAGGCACTATTTTAAGTGTATTGAATGTAAGTGGCACTAATATTATCCTCATTTACAGTAAAGGAAAATGAGGCACAAAGAGATTAAGGAACTTGTCCAGGGCTGGGCATGGTGGCTCACATTGGTAATCCACCACTTTGGGAGGCTAAAGCAGGTGGATCACTTGAGCTCAGGAGTTCGAGACCAGCCTGGGCAACATGGTGAAAACCTGTCTCTACCAAAAAATTAGTTAATTTTTTAAAAAAGGCTGGGTGCGGTGGCTCACGCCTGTAATCCCAGCACTTTGGGATCCCGAGGTGGGAGGATCATAAGGTCAGGAGTTTGAGACCAGCCTGACCAACATGGTAAAACCCCATCTCTACTGAAAAAAAAAATACAAAAATTAGCCAGGTGTGGTGGAATGCGCCTGTAACCCCAGCTACTCAGGAGGCTGAGGCAGGAGAATCACTTGAACCAGGGAGGCGGAGGTTGCAGTGAGCTGATATCGTGCTATGGCACTCCAGCTTGGCAACAGAGTGAGACTCCGTCTCAAAAAAACAAAACAAAACAAAAAAAAACAAACAAAAAGCTTGCTCAGGGTCACATAGCTGGTAAGTGGTAGAGCTAGAATCTGAACGAGCTGGAGCTGGGGAAGAGTGAGCATGTTTGAAAATTGGACCTTAGGGCGGGGCATGGTGGCTCACGCCTGTAATCCCAGCATTTTGGGAGGCTGAGGTGGGCAGATCATGAGGTCAGGAGTATGAGACCAGCCTAACCAACATGGTAAAACCATGTCTCTGCTAAAAATAAAAAAATTAACCAGATGTGGTGGCACGTGCCTATAATCCCAGCTACTCAGGAGGCTGAGGCAGGAGAATCGCTTGAACCTGGGAGGCGGAGTGCAGTGAGCTGAGATTGCGCTACTGCACTCCAGCGTGGGCAATAGAGCAAGACTCCACCTCAAAAAAAAAAAAAAAAGGAAGAAAATTGGACCTTAGGAGAGTGAGGGCAGGGATCCTTTGTAGGAAAGCACAAGAAACACAGACTTGTTCCCAGCTGACAAGGAGCGTACTGCCTGGTACCTGTCACCTGCTGAGGGGCTTAGGATGTGAGGGAGAATCTGATAGCAGTTTCATGTTCTTCCCCAGAAACCAGACAGAGCCAGATTTCTACACTCCTGACTCTGGTCATTTCTGTTCTTGTCCTCCGTATTTGCCTGGTGCCCCACCATCAACAGGTACTTTGGTCAATAATGTCCGACTCCCAAGAGGTCACAGGCTGGAATTGAGTGATGGAGACCTCCTGACCTTTGGCCCTGAAGGGCCGCCAGGAACCAGCCCCTCGGAGTTCTACTTCATGTTCCAACAAGTACGAGTCAAGCCTCAGGACTTTGCTGCCATTACCATCCCACGATCCAGGGGAGAAACCCGGGCTGGGGCTGGTTTCCGGCCTATGCTGCCCTCCCAGGGGGCTCCACAGCGGCCTCTCAGCACCCTCTCCCCTGCCCCCAAGGCCACACTGATCCTGAACTCCATCGGCAGCCTCAGCAAGCTCCGGCCCCAGCCCCTCACCTTCTCCCCTAGTTGGGGTGGACCAAGGAGCCTGCCTGTTCCCGCCCCACCTGGGGAAGTGGGGAACGCCCCTTCTGCTCCACCCCCACGCAATCGGAGGAAATCTGTTCACCGAGTGTTGGCGGAACTGGATGATGAGAGTCAGCTTTCTGAGAGCCCACCACCGGTCCTTATGGAGCCCAGGAAGAAACTCCGTGTAGACAAAGCCCCACTGACTCCCACTGGGTAAGTAGAGTCCTCACTTGGCCCTCTCAGTGTTTTACTGCCTTTTGATTCCTTGTATCCCTAGGCTGTGAGGAGGTTCCCCTGCTTGGGGGACGGGCTCGGGAGGTGGAATAGATGGAATGGCAAGACCTGGGTTAGCTCTGATAGGAAAAGAAAAATATGTGCAGGAGAAAATGAGAGGTGGGGTGGGGTAGTGCTTATAAAACAACCGGAGTGGGCATGTCCTACTTTACATTCATATGGCTTTAACCCCATTCTTCCAGTGCCTAAGGATGGGGAACTTCCAGGCTCACACTAGAGGTTTTTAGGCCCACCCTATGTGTTTTTAAGGACGGAGTCCAGGCTCACCTTAGTTCTCAGACCACTGTGCCTCTGTGGCCTCACCCTATGACCAGCCATAGGGTGGCAAGGTCTAGGCCTTCTCCTACAGGTTTCCAGTGACCCTTGTGTCTGTGTCACTTCCTTCAGAAATCGACGTGGCCGTCCTCGGAAGTACCCAGTGAGCGCCCCCATGGCTCCCCCTGCAGTTGGGGGCGGGGAGCCCTGTGCAGCTCCTTGTTGCTGCCTGCCCCAGGAAGAGACAGTGGCCTGGGTTCAGTGTGATGGCTGTGACGTCTGGTTCCATGTGGCCTGTGTTGGCTGCAGCATCCAGGCTGCCAGGGAGGCCGACTTCCGATGCCCAGGGTGCCGGGCTGGCATCCAGACCTAAGGTCCACCACCAAGGCACCATCGGACACACCTGCCCATGAGTAGACACAGCAGCGAGCAAATGGGTCTGCTAAATGCCCCCCTTCCC